AATAATTTGATCCTTTCATAAAATGTAATAAAATAACCATCCTACCTAAATATATCTATTGGACAATAAGAACGGCTTAGTGAATAGGTATTAAATATTTTATTACTTTATTATATTATAATTATTATTTTCAAGTGTTTGACTGTTGTACACTATAAAATAAGATTAATTTATTTGAAGAAAATGACGTAGGTATTGGTGCACAATGGGTATAAGTTTGGCAAGATTAGGGGGAAAGCAATAACACTTATTTTAACATAATATATTGTTTTGTATTGGAAACGCTCTAACTAGTAACTATAGATAGTAAGGTGTAGCTGTTTAAGGCACTTTAAATAAGGGAAAAGGGCCTACATACGAAGCTCCTTTAGAAGGTTAGGTTAGGGGGCTGTACTGTTTGTCATGCATTCTATGGATGAAAATTATCAGTTTTAGATTTATTTCATTCTGCAACATCAACAGCAACATTTTTGTTTGTAGGTAATGTAGGTAGTATCCAACGACAAAAATGTTGAAGTTAATTGTTATTTTATTTACATATTTTGAATTTAAGGTATACACAATGTTAGAAGTATACTCTAATTATCTATACGTCTTGGTAAGTTATATAGATTATTTTGCACCCACAATCCTATTTAGTATTTTTAATTAATATTATTGTGTAAGCCATCTATACGTGTCAATAAGACCATCACAGTCCACAGGAGATAATAAGACCGATAAGGTTACAATTATGCGTGTGAAGTTGGCCCCCCGACTTTGTCCAATCGATTCCAAAACTATGTCAATACTTTGCAAATTAATTGCAAATAATTTAAAATTGGTTTTTAGAATTTGAAAAACGATATTTTATTTTTGGCAAATTTTTCAAGTTTTTTTGCCAGCCCCCCGACTTTGTCAAATCGATTCCAAAACTATGTCAATATTTTACAAATTAATTGCAAATTGGTTTTTAGAATTTGCAAATTACTCATAAAAAAATTATAATGAAAAAACCATTATGGGGGGCCAACTTCACGCAGCCCCCCGACTTTGTCCGATCGATTCCAAAACTATGTCAATATTTTGTAAATTAATTGCAAATAATTGAAAATTGGTTTTTAGAATTTGCAAATCGATATTTTATTTTTGGTGAAT